TTTGTTTTGTTTTTTGTTTTTTGTTTTTTACCCACAGGTACAGATGACGACTGACAGAACCCTTTCTACGATGGAACTTTCCTGTACGACTGAGAGCCTCCACAAGCAGTTTGATAGTATTGTAGACATATTGTTTTGACTCATGTTTCTTTTGTCCTGTCTTGCTTTGTCTTGTCTACCCCAGATGATGAGCCAGAGCCTCCCAAGAAGAAGTCCGCTATGGACCAGTTGCTTGGAGGTTTCCTTGCTCCTAGAGCACCAGAGAAGACCATAAGGGAGAGAGCTAAGGCGTAGAAAAAAAAGTAGTGTGTTTCCGGTAACCCGATCGACCGAGAATTTCTACGTCGAAAAAAAACTTTACGGTCGGCATTTTTTTCAAACAACCCTCTACATTTTTGTGTAGAGCAGGGGTGTCAAAGTCAAATGGACGGAGGGCCAGGTAAAAATTTTTGCTGCAAGCCGAGGGCCGGACTGATCGAATGTTCATTGAAAATTTTAAAAATAACCACTTATTGTTTATTGAACCAAATTTAATTGACTGAAAACCTAACAAATACATTCCAATACGGTCACATAAATAAAGAAACATTTTTTTATGGCTATGTCAGTAAACTTTAATTTTCAACAGGCACAAAAAAATTTCCTTTGTATAAAAATACCCAAAACATGAATGAAAGAAGCCGATATTATTCAAGGCACTATCACTAGTCCATATTTTCTCTTTTAGCAAAAGTAGGTTTTTCGGGGTAAACTTTTCGTCACAATTTAAGTATACCGTTTTTAATGAAATGCCCCTTCCCCCTCCATGTCCATGTTCTTGTTTTTGTTCGCGTGTTTCGTTTCATGATGTCGTCTCAGATTACACTATTTCAATCGCGCCACACTTTCTCCACACAGAAGACACACAGGTTTTCCAGCTACGTCCATGAACATGTACTTCGACTCCCACCTTGTTTGAAACCCCCGGTTCTCACTGTCCACCTTCCGTTTTGCCATTTTTGATGGGTA